GTTGGCTGTGTGTGTCATTGGAAAGAAGATCTTGACCCATTTAAAAAAAAAAAAAAAAGAGGAGCAACATCACTGGAAATTTTATCATATCATGAAATCCTTCCAGGGACCCAGCACATTAAAACAATAATCTCATCCCAGCAGAGAATTGGAAGTGGAATGAATCATTTGAATTCAATTTTTTTTTTTTTTTGAGACAGGGTCTCACCGGTGGTGTTGCTCTGCCTAGCCTTGAACTCCCTATAGAGATCAGGTTGGCCTTGCATTCAGAGATCCACCTGCCTTTGCCTCCTAAGTGCTGGGATTGAAAGTGGATGCCACCATGCTGGGCTAATTTTAACTTTTAAGCAATATGTGTGTGCATGTATGTCTGAGTGGAAGGTTTGTGGGTGTGATTGCTGGGTCTGGGGGTATCTGGTCCCCAGGAACTGAAGGTACAGGCAGTTGTGAGCTCCTGAAGTGGGTTCTGGGAATCACACTGAGATTTTCTGCAATACAGTACATATTCTTTAAAAAAATGGTTTTCGAGATTTATTTACACTTTGTGTATGGGTGATCTGCTTGCATGTATGTCTATGCAACACACACATACAGTGTCTACAGAGGCACAGATGGTTTTGAGTCACCACATGGGCACTGGGAGCCGAACCCAGGTCCTCTGGATGAGTAGTCAGTCAGTGAGTGCTCTTAACCACTTAACCACAGAGTAGTTATTTGTCAGTACTGAATAAGAGGGTAAATTAAAAAAAAAAATCCTTTTTGCTAATTAATCCCTGTATCTCGGTGCCCCCAAAGAACAGGTCAATAGCAATTAAATAATTTTAATTAACAAAATTTTAAAAACTAACTAAAAAGGGAATAACTAGGTCACAGTGGAGTTACTACTTATGATAGACTCTAAGACTTTTGTGTACATACATTAACTATTGAAAAAAGGAACATGTATTCGACAAAATTGGGGGTGTCTTTATTTCCAAAGCCATTTAAATGCTAACTTAGAAGCTCATAAACACAGACACCCGCTACCTGCTAGTGCTTAGTTATTCCTTTCCTAAGCCTTTGTCCTTATCCCGATGATGTGCTAAGTGTGTGTCCAAAGTCTTAGGAAGAATCAAATTTCTTGGGCTAACTTTCAGTATTTTAGTAACTATGGCAGAAATGGTCATCAGTAGAACTAAAGATCTCGGCACTCAGGAGGCAGAGGCAGATGGATCTCTGAGTTCAAGGCCAGCTTGGTCTACAAAGGGAGTTCCGGGATGTCACACAGAAACCATCTTGGAAAACCAATCAACCAAACAAAACAATAAAAACCCCAGCATGTCAAAAGCATTGATTTTAATTGGCATGATACCTATCATCTCACAAAGTTCTGAAAGTTACCTATCTTTGGAACTCAAATCCATCACAAACTATTGGGAAAATTGGGCTCAAACAAAATCTAATGCATGGGAAAAGAAGAATCAAGTGTTTTGGTGATGAAAAATTTGGAAATCATACCACTCAAACGTCTTTCACCAAGTTTATTTAAAAAACAAAACAAAAACACACAACACAAGCGAGCAAGAACCCTAGAGAAAGGTGTGATAGTGCACACCTGTATACCAAGTAGTCAAGAGTCAAGGTCAGTCTGCGTTACACAGGACCAGTCTCAAAAATTTAGGGTTGTTGGAGAGATAGCTGAGCAGTTAAGAGCACTTGCTACAGCCAGGAAACAGAGATGATGGTGGTGACACACGCCTTTAATTCCAGTACTCCGCCGTGAGGCAGAGGTAGGTGGAGTTCTGAGTTCAAGACCAGCCTGGTCCACAAGGTTAGTCCCACAACAGCCATAGCTACAGAGAAACCATCTCAAAGATCAAAAACAACAAAAAGGTGCTGCAGAGAACCTGGGTTCAGTTCCTTGGCCCCAAAAGGTGGTTTACAAATGCTTTTAATTTTCATTCTAGAGGATCAGATGCCCTCTTCTGGCCTCCATGGGCACTACACACAGGTAGCGCAGACAAGCTTGAGGCAACACAACACGCAGAGACATGCACACACATACAACTTAAGTCAATTAGAGCCACTGTCACTCTCCAAGGACAGACCTTTCATAGGAGCAAATAGCTGCTTCTATCCTGGGCTTCCATCAGAGAAGTGTCCACTGTCGCCAATTTACTTCCCTCACAGCCAAGGGTATTAAAGAACACTGAACAGTCCCAATGCCCAAGCAGTTCACAATTACTTCATCTGAAAACCCAGGCCAAGATATGCCTAATAGTTAAATAGGAGTTTGATAGGGCTGGTTTATAAATCAGCTAACTGCCCTGACTTGAAAACCATGGAGTTAATGAAGGGTGAGGACCTTTGGCAGGGTGGTCTCCTCTCTAAGCCACACTAACATGTGTTCGCACGCACTTGTGCATGTGGTGTAGGAGGGTCTTCTTCTATGTGTTGCTTTCATTGGTTAAATAGAGACTGCCTTGGCCTTTTCATAGGGCAGCAGCTTAGATAGGCAGAGTAGACAGAATGCTGGAGAAAGAAGGCAGAGGCAGAGAGCAGCCCGCCATGAAGCTGCCAGGTCAGACACGCTAAATCTTTCCCAGTAAGCTACAACTCCCTGGTGACATACAGATTATTAGAAATGGGTTGAATCAAGATGTGAGATAGCCAAGAGGCTAGAACTAATGGGCCAGGCAGTAATCTAATAAATACGATTTCCGTGTGGTTATTTCAGGTATAAACTAGCCGGGTGGCGGGGACGCAGCCCGCCGCTCCTTTTACTACATGCATGTGTACCCAAGGAGGCCAGAGCCACCGAAACTCCTGGAGGCAGAGTTACAGGCAAGTGTAAACTGATGTGGGTGCTGAACTCAGGTCCTTTCTTAACAATTGAGTCACTGCTCCCATTGACTCAAGACTTTTGCCTTTGAGAAACCACAATCTTGTATATATACTTTTTTTTCCCCTCTAAGACAGGGTTTCTCTGTAGCAGTCTTTGGACATTGCCCTAGAACTTGCTCTGTAGATCAGGCTGGCCTCGAACTCAGAGATCCACCCACCTCTGCCTTCTGAGCATGTTGGGATTAAAAGTGTGCACCACCACTACATTTTTTCTTATGTATTTTTGTGTGAGTACTCAATTGGCATGTATGCCTGCGTGCCAGAAGGATCAGATCTCATTATACATATGGTACTGAGCTGTCTTATGGTCTCTGGGACTTGAACTTAGGACCTCTAGAAGAGTCAGTGCTCCCAACAGCTGAGCAGTCTCTCCAGCCCGTCTTAACTTTTATAACAATGTAACCTCTATGTGGCCTTTTCTTTAAGTGTTTGAAAATATATTCCTAGAAAAATATGAATAAACCAGCCTGGTCTTCAGAGCAAGTTTAAGGACAGACTCCAAAACCAGAGACACCAACTCAAAACATTGGGGAAAAAAAGTTCAGAGTATAGGTGATATTAGGCCAAGTTTGAGAGGAATTTTTCTTCACAATTAACATTTCTAAAGATTGCTCAGTACCACAAGGGATCCATGTGTACACACATACACACCTTGTTGGGAAGGCTGCCACTGTTGTTTCCTCCCTTGCTGCACCGAGGGGGCAATTTTGGAGTCAGTTTTTTCCATGTACTCCAGGTTGTAGGAACTGGTGCCTGTAAGGGCAAGGCCATTTTACCAGCCTGCCCGCTGCTTTCTGAGCTTAACAGTTTGGTTAGGATGGGAGAGAACATTAATGACCAAACACATTCTTACTAAGAGTCTTAATAAACCATCTCAATGATCTTTGTTTTCTTCAAGCCATACATAAAGACTTAACTAAAATTTTATTTTAAAAAGACTTTATTTTGATCAGGGAAAAATGACAATCTCAACGTCAACTTGTCACCTAATTGTAAGTTTGAACTCACAGGTATTTCTTATTCTGGCACTGTACCTATTAACATAATGTGCTCTCCCTTCTATTGTCTTGGTTGCAATGATTCTTTTTAATAGCCCAACACTGGTACTTGGCCATAATAAAACGAGGCCAGTGCATTTTAACTTGATAGCCTAGCAAGTACAAATATCAGAACAAAGTTGTTGTAGGCATTTTAAAAAAGGTCATCAGTATAAAAAGCTTACACTGGTCTCCTAAGACCAAGTACTCTAAACTTGAACAAATCCCAAACCTAGAAGCGTCTGTGGAACCATGGAAACCCCTTTTCTAAGTCCAAGCATTCAATGGAAAACTCAAAGCTTGTATTACCTTAACATCTTAAGTTTTTAATGCCCCAGAAGATAGACCATGACTCATCATCTTTTCCACTGCCCCTTTCCTCTGCCTCAACACAGAACTGCTTAAATCTACTTAGCTCACGCATTATGGTGGGATGAATGCACCAGTGTTAGCTTTCCACTGCATCCAAACCTCAGGACAATCGAGGCCCCTACTACCAGTGTGACAGCATCCTTCTCTTGCATTTCTTTATCTATAGTACTAAAACCCCAAGAACTATGGTGATCAGCTAAAGCTTTTTCTAGCAGAAAAGCCATTAACTCTTAAAGCCAGAGCCAACTATTATCATACACGATTTGTCAGATAAGAACAAAGCAAAGATAGCCATTTAAAAAGCTTTGTGCTAACAGGCTTTTATGGTGAGAGAAACCAGGGCTGTATGGATGCTCAGCTCAAAACAGCACTGTGCCAGCGAGGCAGTCCTAGCCCAGCAAGGTGCTTCCCTTAGAAACAGTCTGACAGCACAGCTCCCACTAGACAGCGTCAATCCCATAGACTGCAGTGTCAGTCTACAGATACCCCGGGGAAAACATCCAAAGGTATGGAATCAATCTCATTTAACAGAGAAATGAAGCCTTAGACTATAATCACAGAACACCTCTACAGAAACCAGGAACAAGGGGACACTAGGACCAGTCTCTTCCTGTGGGCCAATACCCCCTATAAAACAAGCTGTGCCTTAATTATTGCTTCTTTATAAATTTACATTTCCACAGAACTATGTAGTACCTGACGCAGAAAAACAATCACATAAGGAAGCATTTATTTGAGGTTTAACATGAATACAAACAAAAATTTGTGTAAACACAAATCCACATTGAGTCATAAGACAGATAGCAAAGGACAAAGTAAAAACAAGAAACTAATCGGCAGCTATATACAGTTGGACACAATCGTGTCATGTACACTAGAAAGTCTTTTACAAAATAATCATCTCAGGTCAACACAAGATCAAGCAATCTTCAATGTCGTCCTGTAAGATGGTTTCTTTACACCTCCTAAAACAAAAACAAAACAACCATTAGCTGTGTGCAACCCTCCCAAGTTTGCAAAGGTCCACTTTCATGAATTAAGTCCTCACTTTATTCTTTTCTTCAACAATTAAAGATCACATGCATGTTTATTGACAAAGTGTAGTTTGGGTGTTTGAAAAACTCACTGTGGAGTTCCCAAATGACATTAGGTGGATTCACTTTAGAACACAGGAATGTAATCTTTCCACAGTTATAAGCCTAGCAGATGAAGGCCAACTAGAGGCATAGCTCTAGCTAGCCAAGTAGAATGCTATCAACCAATACAAATTTCAGGCAGGTTTAGAGTATTAACATGACAATGAATTGCTTTGTGCATATGATCTTTAACTTATATCCCAGATTTAAAAGTTCTTGTTTTGGTTTGTAGATTTCACTATTAGCTATAAAAAGAAAAAGCAAGCATTAAATCTTAAAGAATGGACACTTAAAATGAGGCTCCACAATTGAAATACAACACTAAACAGAAGACCAAAATGATTAAGCTGTAAAAAGGCATTTATGTACTTTAACTCCTGCAAAAAACCATTTAAGTTAAGTTTAGACACTTAATCTCCAAAAAGATTAAAAAGAAGCAAAGTCTGAAGTTTCCACTTTTAATCTTTACGCTGGTACATGAAGTTGGAAGAGACCATACCACAGGACAGCCTTTTCTGGTGTATGCCTTGCGCTCTGCCCGCAACGTGCGACCCCCAGAGATAGACGTGGTCAGGGTGACACACGGCCTGCAATGAAGTTCCCGCTGGCGGGTACAAACAAGGTATAATGTCAGAGTTAGAAGACAACATTCTTGTTTTCCTTAAGTTGTACCCATTTCAGTACTTTACCTGTTAATAGTTCTAAAAAGTTTAAACCTCCTGGTACACAAAGCAAACAGAAAAACTCTTAAGTTTTTCTGTAATTCTAAAAAAGGTGAGGTAAGACTTTAAAGTTAAAGATCTATAGACACTTTAGGCAAAACAGGCTCATAAAGCAATTACAAATTTACAATTTAGTAAAGACTACATATATTGTTTACTCTTTTCCATTTGTCTATTGATCTTTAAATGAAATCAGACATTGCCAATGTTTCCTCGTAAGCTCACACACCTGCTTTCTCCCAGGTCCTCCTCAGTAGGGCTGGTAATTGTTCTGGTGATTGCCACCCCCTCGGGATGCCTTGCCGTAAGTGCTCTGTTGACCTAGTTTGAAAGGATACATGTTTTACTAAGAAAGTTTCCTATAAAACCGCCCCTTAAACTATGCATGCTGAACATTAAAAATATCAAGCCACCTTAACAGCCAATAGTTATAATTGCACTTTAAATAGCCATCACTGTCTGTTACTTTCCTATGACTACACAATTGTAACAACTTCAATTATCAATAGGAAACTCATACAAACAACTTCAGAATGGGAAAGTACTTCAAAACTGAATTTAATGCCACTGGTTTATAAAATTAAGTTAAGTATTCTTACCGCTGTAGTCTGCATATCCCTGTCCATATCCATAGTTCCCATAGTTATACCCAGTATAATCATATCCGCCATAGCCACTATAGTTTTGATCACCACCATAGGCACTATTATAATTTCCATATCCTTGATCATAATAGTTATTAAATCCTTGGTTCCAGTTTTGGCCCTGACCTGAAACAATGCACAATGATGGTTAGGAAACCACTTTGGACCCTCTCAATGCTAACACAACATGATGCATTCTGTCCCCTACACTGTACTTTAAAACAGAACACCCCCCCCCCCAAAACAGCCTTTACCATGTGGGTTCATCATAAAAGATTCAATCTAGCTGCCTTTTCTTATGGGCCAATTGCACCTAGCAGTTAACTGCCTCAGCTTAAAAATCAGTGTCCCCCAAATTAAGTCTCACCTCTTCCACGTCCCCTAGCACCACCTCTTCCACCAGCCGTCCCACCTCGTCCACCTTTTTGTTGTTGCTGTTGCTGCCTGTATACCTCTTTGGGTTGTGCAACTTTGATTTCACACTAAAAACAAACAGAATTTTTGCTTATGTTCTAAGCTCTGAACACAAAATCACTTTTCTTTTCAAACAGGCTTTTCACATGCACACTTAATGTAATTCAATCCATTTACCTTCCCAGAACCTATTTGATGGTATCTGCTTTCTAACAATTTCTTTACTGGCTCTTCATCTGTATACGTGATAAAACAGAATCCTCTTCTTTCATTTGTTTTTGTATCCATGGGAAGCTCGATATTTTCTATCTGAAATCAGGTGCACATTCAAAACAAAACCAGCAGTTAAGGGAAGCGAATAGGTACTACAAGCTTCTCACGAACATCACAAGCCCATTCTACTGAGCATCACTTTCTAAAAAGTCGCTACATTCTTTTAAAGCATCTTCTACCCCAGAGTGGCCATAGGTTGGCTACACATCACTTTAAGCCTTTGAGCTTTGGCTACACCAGGCTCCTACTACAGCACAGAAAGCAGCCGCTGTTAAGATGCAGTAACTAGAGCATTCAGTCCTATCCTGTGAAATATTAATGACAACTACACAAAATTGACCAAGCACAAGTATTTCAAAAACACACCAGATGCATGCAAACAAACAGCCCACCTCTCCAAAGGCTCCAAAATATTCTTTGATTTGTTCTTCTGAAGTATCTGGACTCAATCCACCCACAAAAACCTTTTTAGGGGGTTCTTTTCCCTTTAAAGCTTTGGCCCTTTTGGGGTCTATCAATTTGCCATCCAGTTTGTGTTCTTTCAGTTCCAAAACCTGGAAGACAAGTTAATTTGACAGGCGCTTAGAAGCCCGGAGCAATTTAAAGGAGACACTAAAGACACAGTGCAGACCACATCCCTACCTTATCCACACTAGCAGCATCTTTGAAAAGCACAAATCCAAATCCTCTCGATCTTCCAGTGACTGGATCTGTTTTAATTGTGCAGTCTACAACTTCCCCAAATCGAGACAAATACTCAGTCAGATCTTTCTTGCTTGTGTCCCAGCTCAAGCCTCCAATAAACATTTTACTAGAAATAAAGTTATTAAAAAAAAAGACTTAACAGTAACTTCGAGATTACTTCAACCCTGTAATTAAACAGTAAAAAAAAGTACAGGGTAATTTATTCACTAAGTGCAAGCAGTCTGTTTTGATTACAAACGCTAATAGGCCACAAAAACCTTAAGATCACTTGCTCGGACCAGCAGACAGGTTGCTTTCTACCGTGCAAACACAAAGCGCCAACGAAATCCCGTAGGGGTTCTGCTCTGATGACTTTGGGTTACAAAGTACAACTTCTACAACCGAATCCCCCACAACCTAAAGTGAACTTTTACCCACAGCTCTAGACTCAACTTGCTACCTAAAGAACTCCACGCATCAGTCAGCTACCGGCGCCCAGACCAAGTTGCCAAATCCTCCCCAGGAAAAGCCGCCCCGGCAGCAACACACAATGAAGAGGCGGCGGCAGCTGCGGCGTGCGGCGCACCGAGCTCGGCCCCTCCCCCGCGGCCCCACGCGGCGCCTGCGCACTCGGGACACCGGCGGCGCCGCCCTCCTCCCCCCAACCCCTTCTCCCTTCCCCCACCCGCGGCGGGCCTCTCGAGTCACCCCGTCTTACTTTCCACTAGTGGGGAAGCTACTGGGGTCCAGCGGGCACGCGGAGAATCGACTCGGGGAAATAGTGGGGGCAGCGCGCGCAGCTCCAGAGGGACGAAGGGCGCGCGCGGGGCCCTGGGGGAGGGGAAGAGCGGAGCGTGCGGTACCCGTCATCCTGCTGATTCTTGCTCGCGTTGATCTTGGATCCCTCTGCGAACTCCTCTATGTTGCTGTACTCGTTCATGTCCTCCATGGTGGCGGAGCCGTCGGCGAGGGGTTGCTGGCGCGCAGTGCGGGTCCCGGCGGCGGCGGCGGCAGCAGAGCGTTGTATGGAGCCGGATTTAAAATGGCGGCGGAAGAGATCCGGCCGCCGCCTGCGCCCTCCCTTTATAGCCGCCCCGCCCGCCAATCGGGAGGGCTGCTGGGCGGTGACGTGGCGCGGGCTCCGGCGCGCCCCCTGCCGGGAGGCGCTAGAAGCGAGCGAAGGGAGGAGCGGGGCGAGCTGCCGCGGCGCCCGCGGCCGCCAATGGGAGAGGCTGCGGGAGGCGAGAGTCGCGGGAGCGGAGGGGAACAATGGCGGCGGCACATGGGAGAGCCGGGGCGGGACCTCCATCGCGGTGCTCCGGGTGAGGAGCGAGGTGGCGCTGGGGGTCGGGCTGAGCGGACAGGAGAGATCAGACGAGCGAGCCCGATGCGCAGCAAATCCCGGGCCGCGCCGTCGCAGGGCCACAGTCCCTCTTGCCTGCAGAGCCTTTTGTGTCGCGCGTCCGGTCCGGCCCACTCCCGTCCTGCGCCCTCAGTCCCCCAGTGCGGAGCCGCGGCGACGGCGGCGGCTGGGACCGCCTGGCTGCTCCGGGAAAAAGGCGGCGTGCACCCGAAGCTGCAGCGCGCTCGCCCGCCCTCCCGCCCGGCGCACGCGTGTTCTGTCCTCGCGCCGGACCCGCGATGACCCCCTGGGTGGTGGCGGCTGTTCCGCCGTCGCCGTGGGGCGGTGTCGCCTCTGGGGGGGGGGGGTCTCGGCTGCAGGGTCGCCGCAGCCCGGGTCCGAGCGGCCTCCCCGGCTGGCTGTGGCCGCGGCGGAGGGCGGGGCCTGCTCGGATGACTGAAGCGGTGCCCAAGCGCACGCGGTGGGCGGGGAAGGGGTCAGGTGCGGGCCAAGGCAAGGGGACACTCACGTCCCCAGCGCGCCACTCCAGGGGCTTCCGTCTGCACGTGCCCCGGCCGTGCCACTCGCGCTGGCTCCACCAGGCTGCGGATGGCTCGCGCCCGCGCTCCGGGCTCCGGGCTCGGGGGTTCGCTTCTTTGTTCCCGCCCACGCGAGGCCCATTTTGACGGATCGCGTTCGCGGCTCGCCGGTGGCCAATCGGCGCACGCGCCCTGTTTTCCACGCCCCTTGGGGGCCCCGGAGCACCGCCCCTCAGCCTGCTCACGTGGTCCGGGCCTGCGCTGCTCCTCTGCTCTTTGGGGTGCAGCACCTAGGGCGGCTTGCTCTGCCATCGCGAGTCCCCGGAGCCGGCCTGTGTGCGTTCTCGCTTCTAGTCTCTCGTCGCTGCCAGCGCTCCGACCGTTGCTGGGCGTCCCGGTGCGCAGGCGGCGCTCTCCCGTTTACCAGCGAGGCCGAGCCCGTGGTAGCATCCGGCAGGGAAATGGTTGTGGTTTCGGTGCCCGCCGAAGTCACAGTTATCCTGTTAGATATCGAAGGTACCACAACCCCGATTGCTTTCGTGAAGGTGAGGGGCGGAAGGGAGCGGCGGAGTTATTTGTGCCTAAAAGCGTCTGAAAAAGAAATTTTAAGTGTTGCGGATTTTGCCTGCGGGCTCGAGGAGACGTGATGTGGATTTGCGTCTCTGGAATGGGGAAGAGCGACGCTGCGGGGGTGCTTTTCCTCGCGCCACCATCTTCTGCCTTCCCTGTCCTTGCTTTTGGCTAGGAAGAGAAGGATAGGAAGAAGTGGAGGTGGTCTCAGCAAAGACTTGGGGGAAGGCAGGTTAGCTGGGAGGAGTTGCGATGACGGCAGCGTCCGTGGCCTGGCAGGTAGATGTGTACCCCGTCGCCTGGTGCCTGAGCGTCCACCACGTGCTGGGTTGCAGCCTGGAGAGATAGTGGCCTTGGTTAGTGGTCCTTGAGGTTTAGGTCTTCCCAGTGCAAAAGATAGAAGGGAAAGTTTTTCCGGTGGCTCTGGTGCCTTGGGATCATTGCTTTCCGCACCATGTCTCCTGTGCTGGTAAGTGACTGAGCTGTGTACACGCTTACTTCTCTTGACCTCCAGAACACTAGACTTAAATTCCATTCATTGTCCCTAGGAAACCACGCTTTGCTTTCTTCCACGTACTCAATTTAATCACCCGTATTAACTGCAGATGTTTATGTAGAATAGCTGAGATAGGATAGGGGAAATTTCTATCGTCTAGTAAATTGTGCAGCCTGTTTTAAGTTCTCTTTTGGTTGTTCACGTTTTACAATTACCCGATTTTCTGAGTGTAGATCATAATATTTGTACACAATTTTAGATTTCCAAATGTAACAGCTACCTTGTTTTTATTTTTATTTATTTTTGTAAGGCAGAGTCACTCCCTCAATTTATAACCCAGGTTGACCTAAGACTCCCGGCAATCCTGCCTCATCCTCCAGGGCTGAGATTATAGACAAGTGTCACCAAACCTGGCAGCTGTCTACTTCCTCCACCCCCACCCCCCAGAAGAGTTATGGTGCTTTAGACGCATAATGGAGGTCCAGAAAAAGTCCACTTGGCCGCCATTTCCCCGAGATTTTAATTACAGAAGAGAGCAGTGGGAAATTTCAAGACTGCGTGAGTGCTGAAAAGTGTATCCGTTCTCATGTTATAGAACTAGCTGCTTTGTGTGTGTGTGTGTGTGGGCTGGGGGAGGCAGGCATAGGGGTTATAGGCTGTGTGAGTCCTCAGGAGGGCCGCCAGCACCCAGTAAGAAATGCTTAGAAAGTCTGAGGGACTAAGCTTTGGAACCCTCTGAAGAGAATGACCCAGTCACATCCGTCTCCAGCTTTTCAGCATGGAGCTGGGAGTTTAAAGGTGTTCTGTTAAAACATTGTTAGTCAGGTAGGTCTTGTTTCCTGCTGTTTACATATGAGATTTAAACTTGTCTTCAAAATTATGAAGATGTATGCGCTATCCGAATTTAATAAGGTTCCAAAAGGTTGCGTAATTTAAATGCCTTGGATTGGAACCCAAACTGTCATGATTAAAACCTCTTACTCTTGACTGGATGGGCTCATTGGTAGAAGCTTATCCAGCCTGGTGTTAAAACAGCCAGACATTAGGTGTCTCAGGGTTTTTTTTATTGCTGTGAAGAGACACCATGACTGTGGCAACTCTTACAAAGGAAAACAGTTAATTGAGGGGGCTCGCTTGCAGTTTCATAGGTTCGGTTCATTATCATCAGAGCTTGGAGCATGACAGCATGCAGGCAGATGCATGCTGGAGGAATAGCTGAGAATCCGGCATCTTGTAAGCAAAGGAAGTGGGCTGTCACACTGAGTGAAGCTTGAGCAAAGATACCTCAAAGCCCACCCCCACAGTGACCTACTTCCTCCAACAAGACCATACACACCTACTCCAACAAGGCCACACCTCCTAGTAGTGCTACTCCCATTCGGGGGCCGTTTTCTTTCAAACCACCACACTAAGTATGGTGTTGAAGGTCTGTGATCCCATTACTAAGGAGGTAGGCACTGTAGAATTCCAAGGTCATCCTTAGCTAAAGAGCAAATTTGAGGCTAGTCTGGGCTACATAAGACTCTCTGTTTTAAAAAAGAGCCACTCAATATTTCTGTTATTGCACCTAACAATTTTAAATTAATTAGTTATTTTTATTTCATGTGCAAAGACCACTTTGTCTTTTTTCCCCCCCTGTGGTGAAGTAATGAGCATTTCCTTGAGCCTTCTTTTAGCCTGTGAAGACAAACTAGCACCAGTCAGCAGTTTTCGTGGTTATCTTACTTGGGAAACCAGCTATCGCTGCTGAGCTTGGGGAAAATTCTCATTTGATAAAATGCTTGCTGTTTCATGCCTTTTCTCTCATTGCATGTAAAAACAGTTGTGATAGTATTAATCAGTACTGAATCATTACCTCAGAGGGAACTCCCACAAGGTTCGGTCCTTGTTTTCATGAAATGATGGTCCTGTTTTCATGCCGATCGGTGCACAGCCTTGTTTTATGTGTTTCCGTTTGCTGTAGTTTGTGTGTGTGTGTAGGGAGACTCATTAGTACTGCAGTATAGCCATGTGTGTTTTCTCCACACGGTACTTCATGGCTGCCTTGAGCTGGGGAAGCACTAACAGCACATGGACACTCGCTGCCATTTTTAAAGCACAGCCACCAACTACGTGATGAACGGCAAATTGTTTGTGTGGGAGCTTAAGTAGGCGTCCGTTGTTTCTCCTCCTGGTCAACTGGGCTGCGGGCATCTTATCCTTGGGAAACCTTAGTGGTCTTTGTTTGCTTTTTGTTTTTTGGGGTTTTTTTGATATGATAACAAGCATGTGGAGAGTCTGAGGCAGGAGGATTGTGAGTTTTAGGGCAGCTTAGGGTGCATAGCGAGACTTTATCTCCAAAGACAAAAATTAAGTATTCCTTCTAATGTATAATTCCAGGAAAGGGCTCGTGTAGATTGTGTGATTCAAGATTACAGTTTAGTGGTTCATTTTTTTAGAATATTACCTTTTATGATATAGAACATGATCTATAATCTTTTAAAAAGATTTGACACTTGAATTTTTTATATTTGTTTTGTGTATGTGTATGGTGTACACATGCCACGGTGTATGTCTGAAGGTCAGAGGACAGCCTGTGGGAGTATGTTATCTCTTTCCACCATGTGGTTGTCAGGCTTGGGAGCAAGCACCTTTACCTGCTGAGCCATCCTGCTGGCCCAGGCTTTGCTTAGAAAAGATTGCGATGGTGAGGGTTATCAAAGCAGTGCTCAGGGCTGGAATTTGAACTTTGAGAATTAGATACTTGTTGGTTATGAACAAAAGAGGTTATGGTTAACCAAAAATCCCTCAGTTTTCAGTTCAAAATCTCTCAGAGCTGGGGAGATGGTGTAGTTAGCAAAGTATTGATCGCATGAACCTGAGGACCTGAGTTCTGACCTAGAACACATGTAAAAAGTAAAAAAACAAAACAATACCAAGCAAACAAAAGCCCACCAAATCTGGAGCATTCCTGTAATTCCTGTGGACCCCAGGGCTCTGCTGGCCCTCCAGTCTCATCAACACAGCAAGCTCCAGATGGAGTCAGAGTTGCTGTCCCTAAGGTGAACAAGTGCTTACAAGTGCTTGGCTTTGCTTTATTGTCTCCAGAGGTACATCCACCCCCTCTTCCAAGCCCCTTGCTATTAATGTTCAATTGGAATCCAGGGAGTTGGTGCTAGTGAGCTCTGCCACTTGACGACAGCTGCCCCTGGGGCCTGGATGACCTTACCTTGGTACTGGATTTGAGTAGCTTGTAATTGAGTTCTGGATATACTTTGGGACAACAGTAAACCCTCTTGGAACCTCAGCTTCTTCATCTACTAAATAGATGGATAGAATAAATGTGAGTTCTCTACACCCCCCCCCCCCCCAGAGTCTAGGAATCTGGGCCTGGCTGACACTCAGAAACTCACTGAGGATCTGACATTCTGTCTGCTGAGTTACTTTTAAAAACCTTACTCCACACCCACAGAGACAGTGGGGCTGATCTATTGGGAGCTCACCAAGGCCAGCTGGACTGTGACTGAAAAAGCATGGGATAAAACCGGACTCTCTGAACATGGCGAACAATGAGGGTTGCTGAGAAGCCAAGGGCAATGGCACGGGGTTTTGATCCTACTTCATGTTCTGGCTTTGTGGGACCCTAGCCAGTTTGTATGTTCACCTTCCTAGACATGGACGGAGGGGGGAGGACCTTGGACTTTCCACAGGGCAGGGAACCCCGACTGCTCTTTGGACTGGAGAGGGAGGGGGAGAGGAGTGGGGGGAGGGGGAGAAAGGTGGGAGGAGGGAGAGGGAAATGGGAGGCTGGGAGGAGGCGGAAACTTTTTTTTTCTTTTTCTCAATAAAAAATTAAAAAAAAAAAAGATTGCCAGAGACGGCAAACCAAGAAAAAAAAACCTTACTCCAGTTCTTAGCCGGTTGTAATGATCCCAGTTCCTAGCTGGTTGCAATGATCCCAGTTCCTAGCTGGTTGTAATGACCCCAGTTCCTAGCTGGTTGTAATGACCCCAGTTTCTAGTTGGTTGTAATGACCCCAGTTCCTAGCTGGTTGTAATGACCCCAGTTCCTAGCTGGTTGTAATGACCCCAGTTTCTAGTTGGTTGTAATGACCCCAGTTTCTAGTTGGTTGTAATGACCCCAGTTCCTAGCTGGTTGCAATGATCCCAGTTCCTAGCTGGTTGTAATGACCCCAGTTCCTAGCTGGTTGTAATGACCCCAGTTTCTAGTTGGTTGTAATGACCCCAGTTCCTAGCTGGTTGTAATGACCCCAGTTCCTAACTGGTTGTAATGACCCCAGTTTCTAGCTGGTTGTTATAATGGAACTTGTTGTGGTGACTCATAACTCATAAGCTAGGGTTTATCTTTTCTTTAGTTACAGTTAACCTCCAGAACAGAATTTATGAGTTGGGCACTTTTATTTGGAGTGCAGATACCAGTTTTCAAAAGGGAACCCATTGTTTGGGTTCTGCCTCACTCACCTCCCTGGGACAGGGATAG